AGCTGTGAAACATGTGGGTATTTCCTACACCACTGCCAAGATCTGGAACCATTTATTCACAGCGGCGTGTGACTGTTACGAAAGCAAACGTGGAGCTGAGACCTGTGAAATCCTGCCGTGAAGAGATACTGGAGGACCCTGGATTGAAAATAATCCTCAGCAAGAGGATGGCTAGGCCTTTCCTCCAAGGATCTCAAAGTGCTCTACAGAAATTAGCACATAATATTGCCCTTTATCAGGAAATAAAGCATGGAGATATTGGGCTGGAGGTTATCTCGTTTCACCCAAGGAGTCTGAAAGTTCAGCGGCAAAGTCTGCACCGGTCACTTCTGGCCTGGCTGCTCCAGGCTGGCTCCTGCAGAGTTACTCCCTGACCTGCCTGGGACACCCACTCCAGCTGAGGAGACTTGGTGCTTTTTTGTCCCTGTTGACTGTAAGCCTGGAGAGCAGCTCGTCCTGGTGTGAGGGACTACCCTCTGCCGCTGGGAGCAGCCGTGGCAGCGAGCAAAGGTGCTGGACTATGCTGTCCTCCTGCACTCTCCTGCCTTGGGCATAAATCACGCACGGTGGTCTTGCTGTGAGCAAATCAGACGGGGCCTGGAGACGACAAGTAGGAGCCTGGCTCCGGCTGAAGAGTTGGCTGTCCTCCAGCTGTGCTCATCCGCCATCCCTGCTTCTGTGGAGAGGGGAAATAAAACTTGCTGGCCTCCTAGGGAGGAGCTACTTTTGGTGATTAATTTGCATGTCAAACATCTAAGTACTCTCCGCGTATTTATCCAACCGAGGTCTCCTTTATGAAGGAAGAAATCTTGCAATAGCATCAATCAGTGCTTTAACATGACAAAGAAACATCCGTGGTGACTTGCTGCTGACACTTGTGCCTTTACAACAACGCTCCTCTCCTCGGTGGCATCCACAATGAAAAGCTGGCAGAGATTATTGTGCACTGATTTATCTCTAACAAATGCAACAAACAGCAATGTTTCATCTGCAACAAAGGGGATTGAGGACTTTGCTACATTCCGAAAAACGTATTTAGAGATATTTCTTCCTGACTATCGCAGAGGTGAGAGAGGGAAAAACAGAAAAGATTTCCTACTGTGGGAGCAAAACATTAATGGAACCCACCAAAAGCTATAAGCAGGAGAAGAGGAGGGAGGAGAGCAAGCATTTCTTTGGCCAAGAAGCGCTAAGAGTCGTCTCAGGATGGCGTTGCCTTTCCTTGTCAGAGCCAGTCTTGTGGAGCACAGCCGTTTATAGAACTAGAATTCCTGAGCTTTTTTTGGCTGTGGTTTTAAAAGGTCCTAACTTAAATCACAGATTTATGTCTGCAGTTTTAAGCACGAATACCCTAATCAGTCCGTAGCATCGCTTTACGCACTTCCCATGCATGGCGCAGCTCTCGGTCAGCCTGCAAACACCTGATGGGCACAGACCTGAGGTGGGCGCTTCGCTGTGCTTGGGCTGAATCACATCCCCTTTTCTCCTCGAGTTTTGTAAGCGGGGAAAGGGAGGGGAGGGAGGGGGAAGGACATCCGTACGCGCAAAAGAGGAAGTTTTCCCCTTAATTCTAGACAATTTTTAACAAACGGCAGACATGCTGTAACAAGGCTGTTACTGCTGCAGTCTTGCTCAATTTGCTCCCCTGCAAAATCCTGATATTAACTCTTTGGAATTGCTGGTTTCATTAAAGGGTTTTTTTCTTTGTTTCCTTTTTCTTCAGGGAAAACAGAGGCTGCAGCAGGAAATGGTCATCAATTCATAGCCATTCCCTAGATTAGACTTCAGATTAATAAGAGAATCAAGCTCATATGGAAAAAGTGCTAAATATTATGCCTAGACCACATAAAGATCTGTATCATTTAAAGATGTTACCTTTTCTTTCCATAAAAGCTTAAAACAAAGAACAACCCCAAACCAAAGATGGTGGGTACACACAGCACTCAAACTTGAACTACGTGCCAGAGCTGACGATCATACATATTAATCGTGGACGTGCTTCCTGACGTAACAGCTTGACGTGGTGAGTTGCTGGAGACAAATTATTCAAAGTTGCTGCCATTCCACAAACACCATTTGCACGGTACAGGTTCAATATAAAAACAGTCTTTCAATCAGTACAGAAGTCTATGTGGGGAAGTTTTGGAGTTAAACTGTGTGGTACCCACTGTACCACCTACACTGGCGAGAAACAAGATCCGTTACAGGGAATACTGGAGTAGGGAGGGGGAAAAACTTGCATCCGATACTGCTAGATATATACTCACGTTTCCTCCTCACTTTCTAAGTCCTAAATTAATCAAAAGCAGTCTGGGCTGTTCAGCATCACCATACTCAGTTGTATGAGATTTAAGTTTTGAACTATCCAGCCTCAGAAGATTTTTTTCACCTATGATGAATGCTAACGAATGTGTTCCAGCCTTGTTTTCTGATGCCTTCCTGTCCTCACTGTCTGCAAAACAGCAAACGTGCAGAGACCTTGCTGGCTACAGCCAGTAGGTGGGAGGACAAGGACTTGCAGTTTTAACCTTTGCATGAAGTCAGCAGTAGCTGGAAGCTGCACTGAAGCAGAACCCTGCTTGCAATAGCCTACATCAAATTTGGGGTAGCCAGATCTGGCGCTCAACAATAAATCAAGCTGCTCCACTTCCTCTGCCGCGTGATCAGTCACTGTGGGCCAGCCGTAACTGCATCTGATCACACGCGCGGGCAGCATCACTGCTCCTGCCCTCAGCTGAGCGTGCATCTCATTTCTGCTGGATGCTTTGATTCCTTACCTCTGAGTCATCTGCCACTTGTTTACTGAACTTAAGTATAAGGATCCTTCCTGCCTCTGCCACTGCACTTTTCACATGCCAGTACGTGGGACTGGCTGCATGATCTTACAGGAGCTTTTCTGGGGAGCAATAGCGAACAAAAATCACACGCTCTGGCAGTCCAGAAAACTGCTAGTCGTGGAAGCTGCATTCTAGCAGAAACAAAAGTTTTGCCTCTCATTTTTAAGCACGCATAAAAACACAACAGACAAAAGCAGAGAAATTAAAAGGAAGCCAATGCTACCTAAAATTAGGCACAAATAAAACACTATTGCAGAACCTTTTAGGACTCCATCTATCTGGTCCCTTCTAATTAATTTCATCTAGTAATTCACGTTTAACACCACAAAAACATCTCAGCTTGTGTGGAAAACGCAACTGAGCTGTCCCTTAGGTGGGCTGGCCAGAAGTAATTCGATGCCATTACCTTTGGTTTTGGGATGAAAAACCAGCAGGGCCTGCACCAGAGCAGACTCCTGTCCTACTTCCACGCTGCCCCCAGAGCAGCTCTCCTCCCTCGGCAGCTCTTCCCCTAGCACTTTGCCCTTCCGCAGAACCGGCCGGTCAAGCCACCTCGCCTCCCGGCACGAGGCTCTGGCTCCAGCTCCCTGCCTCGCACGGCCAGGGCGGATTTCTCAGCAGAGCTTCACTTGTGTCTTGTTCCCTTATGTCAGTTATTGTGTAATCACCGCGTTACATTAACAGGAAGGAAGAGGCTCAAAAACCCAACCTACATTTGGTAGTTTGTGCCATTTGGTATTTTGTTAAGAGTTTTATGAAAGTGAAGAAGCTTTGAGTTGCTCATGTAAGTCCAGTGACAGTTCCTCCCTGCGCCTTGCTTGGCTCTCCCTACCTCTTCCAGCCTCGTACGCTGTAACTCCCGTGGGGGTTATCACCAGTTGCAAGATACGGCTCAACACAACCATACTGCTAACCTAAGATCTGCCAGAGGATCTTATCTGAGAAGGCGGAGGGCATACTTATTTCCAAAAAAAGTCATTTTATATGACTAGTATGTCTCTAAGGGCAGCCTCAGGCTTAGGCCCTCCCACACAGTAAAGACAAGCAATTTGTAATGGCAACTTTATGCAAGACGACTTTAACAAGAAGTCTGGATGAGCCTCGTAACATTGGGCTTAACAAAATGGTTTGGCATTATGAGTCACAGATTGTGTCCGTTTTATTCCTCAGGTGGCTGAATGCATCTTAGGAAAGTAAGATACTAAAGAAGAAAAAAGCTTCAAAAACAGCCCTAAGATTGGTTTCCAAAGTCAGAGCAACATCAGTAACAGTGTTCATTCAATGCAATTCTTCTTTCAGTGTGAATAAAAAAAAATAGTCAAGTGATAAAGTTATAATTCTTCCAAAACAACTCCATTAGGAATGGGCAAGACAGAATTAAAATCATATTGCAAACCAGGGGAGAAGCGTCAGGCCATTTGACAAGTTAACTGCTAATTTCAGTGAGCTTTCCACACTAAGGTCAACTCTTCACAACACAGCGTGGGGCAGGGCATGAAGGTTCCTATTTCTCTACATAAAGATTAACATAGCCTGAGAATTCTTAGAGTTTATCTATTAGGACTATCAAGACAAGTCTTAAATGTTGAGAATTAGCTATGCAAATAAGTATTCCTAGGTATACTGAGTATTTTCAGAGATTAAGTGCCCGCAGCATGCCAAGCAAATGTGAGTCTCATTGTGGAAAATAAAGCGTGCATCTCAAGCCTATAAAAACTAACAAGGAGAAATCAGTGTTTTGCTCCACACATTGCTTCACTTTGCAGCCAGCGGTCCACTTCTAGAGGAGGCAGAGGCTGGCTTATTCACAATACAGCTACATAAAATCCAACTCTGCAATAATGAGATGCATAATTTATACAGAGGTTTGCCACTTATACCAGAACGCAAACATTGAGTACTAAATTGGTTGTTAAATGCAACTTCAGAAATTTTGCCTCTCAACCGGAGGAAACAAACAAACAAACAAACATACGTACATCAGGGTTAACATAAGAATCTGCATGAGACCTTTTAGCATGGAGCTTGCTTGAGACCAGAGGCCTGAATTCCATTAGTTATTTTATTTGAAACATAAGACATAGCCTTAGCCAACCAGCAAAAAATCAGCTGACTTCCTTCACATATTAAATACTAATTTGAAAAATAATTTCATAATACCAGTATGAGACTGTATATGTTTATTCATCGTCAGTAATTTTTGTACACAAGGCAAATATTAATAGCTGAAAGGCAACATTTTTGCAGAGTATGTACAGAGCAATGTACAAGCAAATGTAAGAGGTTTTAAACTATTAGTCAATTTAACCATTTTATAAAAAAGAAGTGATGCTTTTTCTTCTACAACCTCCTTTAGAAATAATTTATTGCCAATCTTAAACTAAAGCAAGGAGAAAAAAAATTTACAATAAAAAGTAGTCCCTGGAAAGTTTATAAAAAGTTAAACATATAAAATTGTAAGCCACAAACATTTATACAAAGCTAATACAAATCTTGGTTTTGTTAAAGATCTATGAGGTTGTTACAAAATATATTTTTACATAAAGGCTTCACGTAAGGTAAGCTCTCACTGCTACTGAAAGCGCAGGAAAGCAGTTTTAAATAGTCTGCAATTCAATTTATTTTCAAGTACAATGCAAAGAAATTGCAAAATGGCACTGTATTGCAATGCTGTGTAATTAAAAAACATACAAACTATGTTAATGGTACCATCAAATAGACAAGACCTGTAAAGTTCACTTGTGAACAACTCAGTATGGCATGAAACCTTCTGATCATTTTGAAATAGGAAATGTTATTGTTGGAAAATGAATCTTTGCAATCACCCTTAAAGAGAAACGCCTAGGGAAGTCTTCGGTCAGCAATGGACATGTTAAACATGCACGATTCTCAGTCTTTAAGCACTGAATTGCTCATAAACATGAGCCCATAACCGCCCTTAGTACTGTGTTCCTGTTTTTAATTTAAAAAATAAAAATAAAAAGAAACCTCAGACAAGTCTGTGGCGCAATGGAGAACGACGATCAGAGGCAGTTTGATCAAGCTACCTGAAACTGGTCATTAATCCTACTAGCCAAGCGTCACGAAGCTTCAATCGTCCGCCTCGTCTGAGCAATTCGCTAGAATAATCCTGAGGGGCAAAATTCAAAGCCACTGCTAGACAAACGAGCCTAAACATACAGCCTCTGAGATCAATGAACCCACCTAGTTTTTTTTCTTTTTTAAAGAGCAGGTACTCTAAAAGAAAGCTTTAAGTTTTACACAAACTGATGGCTTAAGCTCCCACATACAACAGACAAAAAAGCCTAGGAATTTTTAAAGCCCTGGTGAACAGCCAGTTTTCCAGTATCGAACAACTAAGTAACGCACTGCAGCAGGGCACATTTGCTAATACACCAATTTCACCTTCACGTACACAAAGGCTGTACAAGACAGTGGTAAATCTTGATATGGCCGTTGATCGGTGATCTTTTTAAACAAGCTTCACTCCTCTGAAGAGGACGAGAAGTCCTGGGAATCTCCCTGCTCTCCCCATCTTTACTAGAAATCCTGACCTTGTACCCACAGACTGCTTTACACTAACAACCTTCACTCTTATCCGCCAGTTATGACTCATTTCTTTGCTTCAGGATACAAACTGGTCTGTTCAACAATATCAAAGTCTTTATCTTTTGTACTCAAATTATGCTCTGCCACAAAGAAGTAGTATTTAGAAACAAATCTAAAAAGAAATACAACAGTACATGATGTGCTCCTTTTCAGGTAGCTGACAAGTAGCAAGTCTGAAGGTGGAAAAGCCCAATGTTGTTTCAATTTGCTTAGCCAGGATGTTGCTAACACAGGAGCCATGTAAACAGTTGCATCAAGGCTGATTCCCTCACCCCTTTAAGGGGAGTGGGAAATGCCAGCAAGTGATTTGACTCAGTAACTCCATTAAATTCATTCATTTCTGCCTGAGAGTCATATAGTGCTTATGTACCAGGACTTTGTCAGAATTGACCCAAGACTGGGGTTCCAGCTTGCCAGCTTACAGGCCCCAGCATTCACAGGGAAAGAACCCATACGGATTAAAAGTAGTTCTGTTTGTGTTTTGGGTTGGTCTTTTTTTTTTTTTTTTTTTGGTAGAGACCAAAGACTTGGTTTGGGGAGAATTCTGTTGAATACATTATTGACTTCAGCTAATGTAACGAATGCCCAGTGCCTTGGGAATACTGACAATATCCTTAGACTGGCATCAGTTTTGAGGCTCTTTAGTAAATTAACAGGCCCCTCGATATAAACATTTATCATTTTACATAAATGTATTTGTTTAGACAGGCATATTCCTGGTAGTCTTCCCATCATCCAATATCCAGTCTCAAGTCTTCTCTGTAATCATCTAGTCTGCCATCCTGCAAAACACATACTACAGACCCTCCCCAAATTAGTTCTTATTCTGAACAGAGCAGACATTCTCCTTTAGAAGAAACTTGTTCAAACAACTGTCAGCAACTGGGGGGGAAAAAAAAGCTTACTGCTACTCTTGTTGATTTGTTCCAATGGTTAATTGCCCTCTCTAAAAGGGTGTGAATTTGTTCAACTTCCAGACAGTGGACTTTGTCATACACTTTTGAGGCTATTAGACAAAGGTTTGTTGTCTGCTGACCCAACGTTTATAGCTCGACCAAATCAACCTGTAATCCTTCTTCAAAGAGGTAAACAAGAGAACTTTTTGACCCCCATGGCAGGCATGTTGTCCAATCTTTTACATATCCTCATTAATCTCTCTTGCTATCTTCTAGTTAGTCATCCTTCTTGAATTGCTCATAAAGGAACTGAAGATATGAAACCAAAAGTAATCATACCCATGCCTAATAAGGAGATAAAATCTACAGTAAATATCCACATCCAGAGATTATATTAACCCTCTTGACATCCATGCTGCACCCAGACTTTATGTTTAGAAGATTATGCACTGTGACTTCTCCCAAGCTCTTTTCAGAATTCTTTCCTCCCCAAGATAGTGCCTCATCACAAATCACAGATTAATGTTTAAGACCTATGATTATGCATTGGACGATATAAAAAAAAAAAAGGTATTTCAAAGCATTTAACTAAAGTACACCTACACTATTCCCCTTCTACTGAAAGGGGAACGAGGTACAGAGATGTTAATACAACTTACAATCACAGTAAGTAAAAGGCTAAGTTCAGAAGACAGGCAGCTTTCCCATGTTCTAGCAATATTATCACACTTGCAGGGATACTGCTCAAAGCAGTCTGAATATTGTGTCACACCTCTTGCCACATATGTACTATGTTATAAAAACCCATTTAAGAAAGTATGGCCAGCATCATCATCATCCACAGGAATTAGCCATTTCCATGGAGAAAAGTGGCAAGCAGGACAGCCTAAATGGAACTTCAGTCTGGAGGAAACTTGTAACGGCACTACTTTTTAAAATGCAAGTTGGTAAGCTTACTTTTATTTAGTAATATTGTGTGGTGTATGAGGATGTCTGTTCAAAGAGTATTGTTTAGTCGCATGGTCACAGTAAAGCCCCCATGCCCCCAAAAAGGAGGAAAAAAAAAAAAAAAAGGCAAGAACCGCAATGGGTCTTTTGGTAAAATACTATTAGTCACAAGCTGTACTCTAGAGTATGCTGTGCAACATATTTGGCTCAAGTACACTTAGGATTGCTAGACCCAATTGGAAAGTTTCAGAGAGAATCTTGTCACCTGAAGCATATTCTGCTGTGACATGCTCTTTTTTCAAAAAAGAAACATTCATCTTAGTGGTGTTAGCTACACAAGGCCTCTGCTGGGAACATACACGCTCACGTAAGGCCACTGAAAATACTGTAGGAGGACAGAACATAAAGAGGCACTTAGGTTTGTGAGTACTTCTATCCATCACCAAATGCTTGCTTGCCAGTTAAGAATAGGCACACTGTATTAAGTTATGAAGAAAGTAAAAACAAAGCAAAAAAACCCCGCAGTGATATATTAAAGCACTTCAAGAACAGGTAAAGTACCTACATGTAACATCTGGGTAGTGAAGATAAGAAATACAAGTTTAGTTTGTTCCCTCTTCCCACATCAGAATTTCAAGAGAACTGTTATCATAGTGCTCTGTGCTTTGTCACAGCTCTAAGATGGAGAGCACTTAAAAAAGCAAAGGAGTGAAAGAGAGTACTGTGCCATTTACTAATTCCTAGTCATTAGACTTTTGCCTGCGTTAGTACTTCCTGCCAGATATGTCTGAAGTTCCCAATCTAAGAATTTTTAAAGCATATCCTAATCAAAACCCATGCAAAGATTTATACTTAAATAGGAAGTACATTACACCAGGTATCTTAGCTTCAAATAGATGATTCCAGCAAGGCATTTATGGAATTTCTAACCAACAAAAGACCTGAGAAATCTAAGTCAGCTATAGAATCACAGTCTTCATTATGAAGTTCGATATGAGAAGTTTGTTTTGTTTTGTGTTTTTTTTTTAATTAGTGCCAAAGTTTAACAATTGCAACAATTGCACTGAAGTCTGAAGGTGGAATTCTGAAGGTGGAACGAATTTTCTAGTCTAGGTTTTTTCCCCTCTTTTTAGCATATATGTTCTTAAAAGGTCATATTTAATCACTTTACAAGTAACTTAGGCAAAGGTCTGTTATAAAATAACAACTGGAGTCAACTTGAAGCTACACTGGAAGAGATTAAGCCTGAATTTCTGCAGAAATTCAGCAATTATTGGCAATAATGTGTTCAGCAGCAGCTTTTAGCCACATATCAAGAAGTCTGACAGGATCTGGATTTCTCTACTCCTGCTGTAAACTTCTATTAAAAACAACACACAAAAGTTATCCAAATAAAAACGTCTTTTTGCACATCACTGTAGCATAAGCTGCTTGAGGTTATCATGAAGAATGGTATCCTTGACATCACGGAAAACCAGTCGGATGTTTTCTGTGTTAATAGCAGTGGTGAAGTGGTGGTAGAGAGGCTTCTGCTGCTGGTCCCGGCGTTTGGTACGAAAACAATCCACTAGGAATTTTTGGACATCTGTTAAGCAGTGGGGATCCCCTTCAAACTCTGGAAAATAGTCTTTGATGCTCACTTTTTGTACTTTTTCCTCAAGCAAGTCCGTCTTATTTAGGAAGAGAATGATGGAGACGTTGCTGAAAACCCGGTTATTGACTATTGTTTCAAAAATGTTCAGAGACTCTGTAAGGCGATTCGTTTGCCGATCCTCCATAAGCACTTGGTCAAATTCACTTGAAGAAACAAGGAAGAGTATTGATGTGACACTGTCGAAGCATTCAAACCAGCGTTTCCTTTCTGACCTCTGGCCACCTACATCAACCATTTTGAAAGGAACGTTTTTTATTTCAAAGTCGTACTCATGAATCCCTTTTGTGGGTCTTCGTGCCAGCAGAATATCTTGCTGTGATGGAAGATAATCCTAAAGAAATAAAAAATAAAAAATAAAGAAAGAAATAAAAATAAAATAAAGCAGAGTGTGCTGATTAGGATATAAGTCACAGGCACGGTGATCACAGCCGACTAGCGACCTAGAGAAAAGTTTGCAGAGCAACAGCATGAGGTTTGGAATAAATACACCCAGGCATGTATATTTATATTTTAACTTGAAGCATTTTGGAAAATCTAGAGTCCAAAGCGGGAAACACACAGCATTAAATCAAAACGTTTACTCCAGAGAACTGCAGCTTTCCATTTGCCATATGACAAGCATTCATAAACAACACCGAAAGGTGTACCATTAATTACTCATGCCAGTTTCCCCTCACTCTGAATCACTTTATGCTTCATTATCCTCTCCCCACAAAGCTGGAAAACATATTAGTTGCCAACACTGGAATGCAGCAAATACGGTCTAAAACAGTCAGGTTCCTCAAATCAATAACCAATACAGCATCCTCTTCTAAATATGGGCACTTCATTTCTCCCACATTCACGTGCATATTGTCCAACTGACTCAAAAACAGTACTCAAAAAAGTAGCGATATCAGCTCCACTGAGCAAGTCATTTTTAAGACGGTCCGTTAATCATGCCAGAAGAGCCAAATCTAACCAACTTGCTATGTTTGTGCCGTGGGCAGCTTTCCTTTTTTGGAAAAGCTGTACCTGTCTAAAAAGTCACTTCTATATAGCTGCACGCCACCTGTGAGCTCACGCAGTCTAATTTTGTCCACAACATACTATACTGTTAGTAGATCAGAGGAAGAAGCAGGCAGCTGAGGACAGTAGCCTTTTTCCAGTAGTGGCATCTAGGAGGGTGCCTGAGACAGCTGTTCCTGCATTTATGCAACACGCTTTCCCCCCTGTGATAAAATATGCAATATAAAAGTTCCTGTAGTTCTTAGATGAACAGCCATCTTCACAGAAACGCAGATGCTCACAGGAAGAGGTACTCTTACTAGTTTTTGTTGGCGTGAAATGCAAGACTCAAATTGGGGATTTCTTCCTTCTAAGAATTACACTTCCTCATACGGTCCAAGTTCTTCTGCTATTTAAACAGTGCATCTGTAATAGACAGCTGAAGCTGAGATTTACAGCTTTGTTTTTCACCTGTTATGAAACTCTTCCTTACGTTTTCCAGCATTTCTCACAACATCAGAGAGGATGGTTTAGGTTTCAGAGTAAGAATTTAAATATTTTCTCAGTGAATGATCTACTGCTGAAGATCTTCCTTTGACAGTGCCAGTTACTGAACTTGAAGCTTTTTATAACAGCCTGTAAGACCATGGCCCAGAAAAGACCAATTCAACTAGTAAGCTTGGGGTAGCGAGGGAAAACTACATGGAAATTCAAATACTGGTATCACATCGTATTTCCACAGGTAGGAAACTAGACGGTTAAAACACGCACATTAATAGACATTCTATTCCAAACTTAACGGAGCTGACAAACTTTGATCCAACGCTTTTTAAAAAGCAATAAAAAAAAAAAAAAAACATGAGGCAAGTATAGTGATCCAAATATTAAAGGACCCTTTCACTTTATTATGCAAGCTTGAAAGTGAAACTAGCTAAAGAGGGACTGTTTTGTCTGAACTCCTGGTCTCTTTATTCAAGTTGTCCAAGATGAGGGCACTGATTTTTATCACAGCATGCAATTACAATGCAGCTCTCTGAAGCACAGGCTCCCCACCCTGCACTTTTTGCTACAGCAGTATTACGCATCCATAACCTGCACCACCTACATCTACAGGAGAGCTGAATTGCTGAAGTAATTCCAAATCCTCTTCAAACTGAGCAGCTTCTCTCCTCTTTGCTGATGAAAAGAAGGAACTTTAAAAGGCAATAAGACTTTTCTATGGATTTGCTACATTTACCTTGTGTCTTTTCCACCCAAAATTTTTAGAAAAGGAGGACAATCAAAATTAATTGAGGAATGACCACATCAAGTGGCACTTGAGTACATGCGAAGGGATTTTGGGTAAACCTGAGTGTTAACATTTAGGGGAGAGAACGTAAAAGGTTAAATCCTTATTCTACCTTTCAAACAGGAACGCGTTATTATTTTTTATTCAGGAAGTTCATCTCAAATAAGTTCTCAGAAAAAAAAAAACACACATCTTAGGAGCGGTCAAGAGTTCTTAAAGTTAAAAAAAATGCATGCAGGAGGCAAAGCCATATATACTTTCACTATTGAAACGAGCATAAAGCAAACTCATTTAGGAGTTGACCCTGACCATTTTATTCAGCAAAGCTTTCAAAATCAAGGAGCTTAACCTAGAATTCCTGACATACTCACTCTTGAGTACTATTACTCATTTAAAATTCTTTTCACGCTTTCAGTCACTAGTAAAACCCTTTCAAGGGCTGTTAAAGTTACATATACAGAAGACCTACCATGTTTTATCCCAGATAATGGCTACTTTGATGCAACTGCCTGCAACCAATGCACTGAAGTTAAGAACCTGGTATAGAGCCATCATTTGACTACAGGAGACTAAATACAACTCCTAAATAAAAATATCGAGAGATTTCTTGAAGGATGACTTCATTCTTTTCTCCCTTGCGCGCAGACTTCTGGGATACTAACAGCTGGCCTCTATAACAATTCTGAGTTAGCCTCTTTTTCCATTTTTACTGCTAATACGATTCTCTACAAGTGAAACCTTCAGCATGAGGCTAGTATTTTCTTGGGCCAGCACTTGGTATTTTCAAAGTCTTTTTAACATCTTCCTACTGTCACCCTGCACTTTTCCTGCAAGCACTCCCAAACTCACTCCTCTCTTCGACACTTTGCCCAGTCTTTTAAGTTTGCTGCTTTCTTTTTCACCTTCTTCCATGTTTACTTTTTCTGTGCAGATCTATTTGCCTGGGAGCATTAACTCTTTCCAAGGATACTGACTCTTAACACTTGACTCAACTTTCTCTCTACTTTCTGTTTTCTTTCCTGATTAGTCTCCTTCCCCAAATTCACTACAGTCCCTTTTCTTCAAAATGGCAACTTTTGGTTATCAGGTAGCTCTTTTGGCTACCATAACAATGTTTGCCTCGTTAAAATTAGAATTTAAGGCAAGCATAGGATCCAGTCACACTATGCAAAGCAATGTCTCTTTCAAAGGTATTCTGAATATATAGTCTAGATCACCAGCAGCAGAAGTAACAAACTTATGTTACAAGGAATGCAGCAGATTCTCATATGCCAGTTGGTTACTCTCATTCTGCTGAGCTGACTAAATCCAACCAGTAACTTCTTTCCCTTAACTGCCGCTACCATCAGCTCCCTTTTGGGAACAGACGCATGAATCAGAAGTCTATCTGTTTATAAGCAATCCAGCTGCAGGTCAGCCCACTCGTATCAGATATCAGATAAGAACAGTAAAATACTTATATTAGCGTATTAGACAAGTCTTGCATATAGATAAGAATAAACCAGAAGAATCTATCAAATCTTTCAGTAACAAAACTTACCCAGCAGTTTTTCCACCAACTGCTTAACATTTTCTATGACAGCAAATCATGAAGAAGCTACAATTTACAACTCATTGTTCCAACAGAACATCAGACCTACAATTTGTGCATGTATTTTGAATTAACAAGAGACTGCCTAGTCTCACACGTTAATCCAAGAATGGGTCAATATTTCTGATCAAGAACTTTGAAAGAAAAGCTGCAAAAGTCCATACCTGTATGTTCATAAATGTGCCAAAAAGTGGCATTGGATAGGAAGGCTATGAGAAATCCACCATCAGCAGAAAATTCAGTTAGTTCATTGAAGTGCTAACTATGCTTCTCATAGTACCTCAGACAGCTCAAGATCAACCAAAATTCAAAGACCAAATGAGTGTTGGAATTCAGGGAAAATATCTGGAAATTGTATGCATTATACAAGATGTGCACCAGTGCTCTACTTCAGAAACATTGACTGTTCAAAGAAGAACAGACTGGCTCAAAATTAAATTTTTATCTGTTAAAGTGAAAAATGACATCAAGTGGGCTGTAACAGGATTCAGCTGAAGTGGTTTGCGTTCCCTCATCATTTGTTAACTATTAGCTGGAAATGACCATGGAGAAATTGCCTCCTCATGGTGTTCAAGTTAGCTTCCCATTTTAAGGCACTTTTTCCCATGCCATTTCTGCAATATGAGGCTAATGACTATCAGCATACAACTTCATCACGCAAGCAGTAACCAACATTTCTATCAAAAAAGGATTCCACAAAATCCTTTAACTTTTTCTAGAGAAAACAGATTCTATTCTGTACCAGGTTTGTTTATTTTAAGGTAGATACTGCAAAAAGGTACCACTGACCTGTTTATCGATTTAAATTATTGATCTTAATTGGATATTAAAAAAACAAAAGCAGGCATCTTTGAAAATCCATTAGATCTGGATGGTTGAAGGGTAATACAGATCAACACACAGCTTTATAAATTGACACTACAGAATGAGTACTTCAAAAACCCTGTCACACTGAGAACTGTACAAGCAAGAAATGAGCATTTATTTTTCCTTATCTTGACAAATATTTAAGGGAGTTTTGCAGTGAGTTTTTCAACATACTTACCACACAATGCCTACATGCGGAATCAGCTGACAATAGCCTACTCTTTTCGATCCTGTTGGTCACGTTAGCTCTGTCTGGTTGTACCCAATCTGGACTAATATAGCTACAGCATCAGATTATAGTCCAACATCAAAATCTTCAGTCAAAAAAATGGTAAAAACTCAAAAAATCCAGCCTGACCTGACATTAAAGGCAGAATAACAGTTACTTGTAAAAACATTTGATTTTTAGATTTGCTACAGTAAACACGGAGATAAGTGCTATTTTAACAATCTTCTGACTGGACAAGCATTTGTAACTTGTTTTTTGTTCAACTTCCATAGAAGCCGTATTTGCAGGCAGCCTCTTGGTCTTTGCTTTGCCTTATGTTTGTGACATGTCAGTGACGAACCGCTAAGATAATGGGACAGGCAAAGTTACTAAAGATAAAGCTAGTAGAGTAGCCACTATTTACAGTTGATCTGTTTAAAACCCAGGGATCAAAGACTATTTCAAATTCACAACTAAAAAAAAAAAAAAACACACAAAACTTACTTGTTCTCCAAGTTTATCCAAGTTGTCCAAGAAATATTTTACAGATTCCCCCTAAAAAACAAAGCAAATAGTTTTTAAATAAGTGGCACACTGCATCCCAATAGTTTACATTCTGAAGTCCAGTTAATTTACCTAAATCTAAACCTAACTGGTGCAAGCTTTAATCACTATATCCAGCCTGACCTGACATTAAAGGCAGAATAACAGTTACTTGTAAAAACATTTGATTTTTAGATTTGCTACAGTAAACACGGAGATAAGTGCTATTTTAACAATCTTCTGACTGGACAAGCATTTGTAACTTGTTTTTTGTTCAACTTCCATAGAAGCCGTATTTGCAGGCAGCCTCTTGGTCTTTGCTTTGCCTTATGTTTGTGACATGTCAGTGACGAACCGCTAAGATAATGGGACAGGCAAAGTTACTAAAGATAAAGCTAGTAGAGTAGCCACTATTTACAGTTGATCTGTTTAAAACCCAGGGATCAAAGACTATTTCAAATTCACAACTAAAAAAAAAAAAAACACACAAAACTTACTTGTTCTCCAAGTTTATCCAAGTTGTCCAAGAAATATTTTACAGATTCCCCCTAAAAAACAAAGCAAATAGTTTTTAAATAAGTGGCACACTGCATCCCAATAGTTTACATTCTGAAGTCCAGTTAATTTACCTAAATCTAAACCTAACTGGTGCAAGCTTTAATCACTATCTTTTTTTTTTTTTTTTTTTAAATCTGAAGAACACAACCGAAGTTTTATTTTTAGGTCAGTTAATATTTAAGCTCGAAAGGCATAGGCAATCACATTTATAATAAACTCCCAAGTTTAGAATTGCTAAATAAATTCTACAATGTTATTTCCATGGACTGCCCATGAAGCACCACAGAGTCAGACACCTTCATTATGAAAGGACGCATTCAATTCTTCTAGTCATTTGAAGAGTCTGCACACACAAGCATTCAGCTATAGAGATTAATCCCTCGAGTTGGTTCATTTATAACTGCATCGCCGTAAAATCCCATTTCTATAGGTACTGCACCTAAGCACAGGAAGCATTTAGCAGAAGGGGAAGAGAAAAACCACAAAAGATGAAGCTACAGCATTCTAATAGGCTTTCCTGTCAAAGACCAGGCTGGTCTTATTTTGGGGGTAATGAACTGAGCTCCATGCTGCAATGCTGCATGCTACCTTCCAAATTCAAGCCATCACTGCCCTTGCAAGTAGTAATTGCAGTTCTTAATCCCAATAACACAGAACTAAGGTAGGGTTTTGTGAGAACCCGAGCTACGGTCAACTCTCCAGAACCCTATTAGCGTGCTGGGA